CATTTACTTTAGAGACAAAGGCAAAAGAATGGAGGATTTTATATCCTCTTGAACCTCCTCTAGCGCGAATGTACGATGAGATATGATCAGGCATTGAGACATACAAGTTCTGTGTGTTGTATTAAGACATTTCGTTCCATATTTGCTGTAACCGTGCCTCTAGTTCATTCAAATTCTTGGGATGCCCAACTCGAAGTCCCAAATGATCCCATGTATGTTCGATTGGAGACAAATCTGGGGATCAGTTGGCCAAGAAAGGGTAGTAACCGTGTGGAGACAGTCTTGTGACACCCTTACCAGGAGAGGACGATCATTGTCGTTTTGAAAAAGGGCTCCTGGGAGACGTTGCTTGAGAGGCAACACATGTGGTTGTAGGATGTCATGGACATACCACTGGGCTGTCATGTTGCCACGGATCAATACTAGGGGTGAGAGTGTATTGTAGGCAATGGCACCCAATACCATCACATCTGCTGTGGAGAGGTGTGTCAATATAAAACAAAGGCAGGATCGAGGCTTTCACCACGGGGTCTTCACAGACGAACACGATTGTCATCACTGCTGAGATTGAATCTGGGTTCGTCGGTAGAGACAAACTGCTTCCATTCCGCTGCAATACAGTTTATTATTGGGCGACACCACTCCAAACGGAGGTGTCGATGGGTGGGAGTCGAGGTCAGCCCATGTAATGGGTGACGTTATCCAAGTTTTTTTTCCGCCAGGCGCCTTCGTATGGTTCGAGAAAATACAGAGGCCCCTAGTGAAGGAGCTACCTGTGCCTGGATGGTGGCCGATGAAGCATTTGGGTGTACGCCTTGCATTTCTTACGATGTGACGGTCTTCTCAACGATTGGTCTGTTGAGGGCGTCCTGAGCCTGGTCTTCGTGTAAATGACATCTGTCGGATCCATTGGTCCCAACATCTCCTCACAACACAATCAGAGTGGCGAAATTGACGAGCTAAACGCTTAGCTGTCCACCCAGCTTCCATCATGCCGATGATTCTCCCTGTCTCAAACTGCAACGGCTGCTCTTATTGTATTCGAAAACGGCGTAATGGCATGTCTACCTCAGCTCTTCCTTTGTAAACGATTCAGCACACTAAAGCAAGCTTTGGTTACTCGTTTTATACTCCACGGAGAACGACGTTTAACGCCCTCTACGGGCTATACGTAGTAGACAATCACGCTGCATTTCTAATCATTTGCATATCTCCCCGACATGTACCCCTTCATGCCAAGTTTCTTTACGATCCTGCAATTATTTCTTGATATATATATATATATACATATGTCCTTCATTGTGTGATTTTCCTATTGTCTATGTGTTTTTCGAATGTGATTGTTGGATGTTATCTCTTTTTTGTAGAGAATAAGACTATATATGTATATGTGTCTGTATAGCATAAAAAATAAATTAAAATACTAAGTGAGAAAGTATTGTACAACCTACAAGGCTAAAGAAGAAAGAAATTGGATTCAAAGAAAAATAACAATTGTTGTTGTTGCCTCATTCCCGAAGGGATGAAATTGAAGTTGCCAGAGCCTGAGACAGGTTGGACTTCTACTCGATGATTGGCGACGACACCTATCTCCACCTCTACAAGTTAGACATGTAACTGGATGGGAGGGAAATATTTTGCAACCACCTTCACCCGTGGTTTCGGCTGCGACCACCCACAAGACTTTCGGGCAGTCTGATTTAAAGAGCCCCTAATCCATGTGTACTCGGTAGGTATTGTGTGGCATCGGGCATTGAACCCAGGTCTTTCGGTCTGTAGTCCGACGCTCTAATCACTATGCTAGCCATGGCCTAGTGGTAACATAACAATTGAATATGCAAAAAGAGTGGTTGGACTAAAATGGAGACCTATTATGGTTTCTAAAGCTATCGCTGAATAAGATCAGCGAATTAGGGTTTAGCTGCTTTATAGTACCACCTTCCCCGTAGCTCAGAAATTTTTGACATAATAGGATAAAAATAGATCCATGTTTAAAAACAAACGTGGATGATAAACCAGACACCAAAATAAAATGAAATTATGAATAGAGAACAATGAGGTTTTTCTCACAGAGAAGAATATAAAGAAAAAAAAAATATAAGAAAAACAAGGAAAAATTATATGAGAAAATTAAACATAAGTATATAATGAAGTTAATGCAACTCAGTCAGAAGACGCTATATAAATATAAGTATAATGCGTAAGAATAATTTAATGTATTAGTAGATGTTATTATTTAGATATCATTCTAAATCAATACATTTTCGGAAAAATAATTTTTTAAAGGAGATTTATACTGTACCTAGATACATGGTTAATTCTATTAACTCTTCTAAGCCTTCTGAATTAGACTTAAAGAAAACTATCAAAATTTAATTTAGACAATGTGACGGTATTTTAGAAAAATTAAGTTCATAGGCTTATGGGGTTTATTTAAAAATAGGTTGTTAAAGAAAATGTAAATTATCCAGAATATAAAATAGAGAGAAAAAAACACTTACTTAATTCAATCAACCATAAAAAAACAGAAGACAAACATGTTTTCCTTACAAATTAGTTTTGTGATAAATATGCCTTAAACTAAACTATATTAAATTTATTTTGCCTGTTTAGATTTTTGAAGCTATCTCAACTTGTTTAAGATAATTTTTCTTTTTATGGTTGGTGATTAATTTTGATTTCAAAAAAATGAAAAAAGACCTCTGGGGTTTAAAAATTTAAATTTCACCTGGGGTGATATATACAGCCGAAACGGGGATTTATTAATACCAAAATACCTCTTTCCATCAATATTTCGAAAGTTGCATAGAAATAAAGTTTATTAAAGATAAAAACCAATCGACAGCGCCTCATCTTTAATACGGATAGGTAAAAAATTTAAAAATTATTTTTACTGAAAAAAAAAATTCACTTGAGGAGGATTGTTATTTGTACTTTATAGTTCAAAATATTAGTTTCAATGGAAGGTCAGTATGAATTTTTCAATTCAGTAAATGAATCGAAGAAATCATTAAGAAAAAAAAAATCTTGATACTTTCAAAAAAGAAATCGAATAAAAATATGTTTTATTAAAAAAAAAATTATTTTACACTTATCTTGTATATAATATACTTAAAGGTCCATATTCCTTAAATTAATCCTATTGCAGTGTTCTCATTAAAGAAAATAGTTTGTAACTCATCTTTCTTTTCTGAAAAAAAAAAGATGGGTAGCTCGATGGACAGCTAAATATCTATATAATTTGATTTTAAATTTTTTTAAAAGAAATCTTGAATTAAACCAAAATATGCTAAATTTATATTTTAGGTTAAAAAGTTTGACTTCTCAAGTTAAAAAAAAATCTGTATGATGTAACTGTCTACATATAGGTAAATTTATTAAAAATATATACTAAGATAATAACATAAACTTTCACTATTTCAAAAACCAACTATAAGAAAACTTACCATGGTAATATAGAAATGACTTAATTTATTAGATAAAATAAGCTAACATACGAAAACAATTTTTAAAAAACTTATTTGAAAACCTTTATATGTTACATTTTTTAAGATGTAAATATGCTTAAATTATATATTTGAACATCATTATCAAAAAATATCAGATTATATTGGTTTTTATCATTCTTCACTACACGTAGTTGTATTTGTGATCTGGAGATAATCCATTTCTTATACTCAAACCCTGTATAAAGTAAACTTATATTAAGTAGCCTTATTTTTAATTAAATTATATCATAACATTTATTGTGTCATTTTTTAAATTTTAAACTGACCATTAGAAGACTTTTTTCCCTGTTAGTTCTGTTTTAATTAAATATTTGGATTAACTGCTTTAAAAAATAAGCTCATTTATCTTGATATTATTTTTATTTTAATATTAATTAATTGTCATTTTACATATTTGTACTGATTGAAATTTATGTTTAAAGTTTAATTTCCCCTTAAGTTCTAAGCGGAAACATTACTAATTAATTTTATTAGAAAATTCATACCAATACACAACACATTTCTAATTATCGGTTTCATTCTTAAAACTAATTAATCTTCTTCACCATTCTTAAACGAATCTCTCAATTCCGCCTGAGAGTAGAAGTTTCTCGTAAATGGAATAATCCTCTGACACAAAATTAAAATTCTATCGTCTCAGAAGAAGTCAAGTAATTGGGTTGACTCCTTTCGATTCTCTAATGAGAGATTAAAAAGAAGCTGATGATTAGTTGGACTGTTTTCAATTGAATAGGATCTCTTGGCATCTCCTTATTTAACAAGTAAAAGGAAATGGCTTTTGACTGAGTTGTGTCGTAATTATATTAAGAATTCCTCAACAAAAGGGATTAATGGAATGTTATTTAATATTTATAAGGTTTCTCAATAACTTTTGACCATGGATTAATTTAACATTAAGGCGGATTACGGTTATACGGAGAAAAAACTTATTGTGTTAATTGGAACTTACTTATAAGGAAAGATGCTCTATGGTATGAGTTTAAAAGAAAAATAATTTGAATTTCTTAAAATTTAGTATTGATACAAAAGGGATGTAGCTTCAAAAAATGGGAAATGATTTAATTATAGTTAAATAGTTTTAGACTCCAAATAAACTCATTTTTCTACAATATGAGTCTCCCAAAGTGGTGATTATTGATGCGTAGAACACAGTACAATGTACGTAATAACAATAATGATAAGTGGATAATACAATGTACGTAGTAAAATTTTATAAAACCTGCTCCCCCTCCCAGGCCTCATCCGATCCAAGTTTATTTTCGTCTTTTGCTTTATTGTGTGTGTGAGAACTGTGATTTTGAAAATATGCGTTTTTGAAGTTATACTTCTTTTGAGGCGTTAAAGAAATAGGATGAGGGTAAATTTTTACGATGCGTGCGCACACCGTCACAGATGCAAAAACGATTTGTCTAGAAATATACAGAGAATGGGACAGATCATTTCGGCCTTCAAAACATCAAAAAAAAATATTTCTCTTCACTTCCCTAAAGAAGAGGACACCCGGGTTTGAACCGGGGATCTCTCGATCTGCAGTCGAATGTTTCCTACCACTGAGCTTTATAACCCCTCCTCCCGTGTCTGCGAACCTTTGCTTTGCGCTGATTTGTAACGTCACTACTAGTAGGGATATATCATCCTTCGCCTAAGGAGCTTTTCTGATGCATTTGTTAGAAAACTTTTTGTTATTAAACCAAACATACCTACAGGAAATTTTAAAAAAAATAATAAAATAATCTTCAAATTGTGTTTCATGTACATAAATCATAAGCCAATTTAAATAGCACAGTTGCAAGTATATGATTATAGATGTATTTATTACGAACGCATTGCAATGAACATAAACACATTTATATATATTACATTGTAACAAATTATAAGAGCCATTTGTATTCGTATATTTATTTTTGGGCGTACTTCTTTTTCGGCTTTAGGGAAAAAGTATGAAGGTAAATTTTTACGATACGTGCGCATACCTTCACGACACAGATGAGCGCGCGCACACCGTTGCCTAATATTTTAGCATGCCACTTTTTTGGTACTATGTGACTGATATTTTGGGGATCATAATAACTAATGTTTATATACTATATCTGTTGGGACGCATCCCCTGTACAGCTTTTTGGCCAATATGTCGGTACCTGAGCCTCACAGTCCATTCGGACCAGGCTCATTCGATCCCTCTCTATGTTTTTCCAGTTATTATAATTTCATGCTCATATGGCTATTTCTTCCATAGTTTTTAACTGTCTTAAACATTTTTAATTTGTTTAAAATCACAATGTATTGACTCTTGTTCCAGTCTCGGACTTGAGATTTGAACCAAATATTCTACTAGTCGAGACCCATCTCATGTCATCTGCTTCATTGGTCATTGTTCAGGTATGGGGAGGGCTTAAGCACTATACCATCATGTTCCCATACAATTCTTTGGGGACTGGAAACATTTTTACCCCTTCCCTATACAGTTTCGAACTTGATTTCTTGGAAGTCCACCGGCATGTATTAGCGAGCTTTACGTGAATTAGCTCCCTCCTCTACAGTGGGTTGGCTTCCCAGAAATAACTCGGAATTCTATGCCACCCGTCGACCGCACTGGCTGATTCATTCTTCCTATGAGCATCCTAGACATATTTATTGTAAATGGTACCCTGCATTTCTTTACCCATATATTTAACATTTTAAAATTATTTTAGTTAGAATTTTTATTAAAATCCCGCATAGCTCCGAGGATTTTTGAGATTCGTTAATGAAACTCGGACCATATGTTCTCGTTGAACTGTTTCATCTGTTATAATTCGTATGTAGATAGTAGTCTTAGGGGGCGTTATCACTAAAATTAGAATCCTGTGTTATTCCTATGGGGTTCGATCTTTTGATGACGTAACGATATTACAGAGATAGAAGGATGAAACTTTGGGATTATACCTACTACTCTGTGTATCTACTCTGTGAAAAACGTAATATTTTACAGGGAACTCGTCACAGTGGAAAATACTTTTCCCATTAAATGCTCTATATTATTCAGAGTAGTATTACAAATTAGTAGTCCTAAGTTATATGATGAAATTCCTCCAAGCAATTGATTGCTCACATAAATTTTAAGACAATTTTAAAATATCTGAAGCAAATTTAAAAAGTTAATTAAAGTAGATTTTTAACAATTTTTTTGACAACAATTTGATTTTAACTTATGGAAGTACTTCCGAACCTTTCAAGAGTTATTTAAATTTCCTTTCTAAACAACTGATACAAGAAACTTTTCGTAGAATGAATGACGTATTGATAAATTTATTGAAGCATGAGTCTAAAATAAATAGAGATATTTAGACGTATATCATTCCACGGTTTATTTTATAAATGCATAAGAAATCAGAACATATTGTGGGCAATGACATGCTTATAATTACAAAAGAATGCAATATGATTTTAGTTTTTTACTTTCTTCAAAATGTACTTCCTTAAACTGTGAATTAAGAGATAAAAATCAAAAAAGCAGTTTTGCTTCAACTCATCAAAAATTTAAATTTAATTATATGTTAAAGAAAGCCAATGCACAAACTTAACATTGAGATAAATAGTTATGCACAATACTTAATTGATCTTCTCAAACATAAATTGTATGTTGTTGGAGTATATTTCAAAATAAATGAGCTGCTTAATAGTTATCATTTATAGGACTTTTCTCTTTGTCTATGGCACGTGACATATAATTGTTTTGCTAAGAAAATAAGCTACACTCTACTCATAATAAAAAGATGAATAGTTGTTTAAGTAGTTATTTATCTCCTCCTTAAAAAAAAGTCTCAAAACTCATTATGCAATGTGATGCCTTTTTGAAGCAAGATTGTAAGTAATCTATATAAATAACTTTTAATTAACCTCTTAAATTATGTATGAAGCTGCCTTGTATGGTACTTAAATGATTTGTTTATGTCAAATTGAAAAATATCACTTGGGAAAACCTTAAGAATAATGTCATGGATTAGGTTATCCTCAGAAGAGTAAGCGTTTTTACATGTTTTGTAAAATGCAGTTTTTTTATATCCTTTTTTGTTATTTATTTTTTGTCATACTTATTTATAATACATATTTTGACAGTTTCTTTCCCTAATTTGTAACTCGTAGTGTTATGTTAATACTAAAGTTAATTTTTTTTTTCAATTCTTACTTTAGCTCACTCTTTCTATATATATATTTTTTATCTTGTTTAAATTTTCAATAGTTGATAAAATACATTTTAAAGCTCTCAATTGAGCAGACATTTTACATACACGACTGTTTTGGATGACAATACGGTAATTTTCTTATAACTAAAACAATTTAATTGATTAAAACTAAGTATTCAAAGAATTACAAATACAGCCACGTTGGCATCCTTTTAGGCGAATTAGCGACCGTTTTGGCGATTTCTGTCAAAACTAAAAGTTTTTTTCTCACATTTTAATGCTCTCATTTGTGCTAAAATTTTCTATACACGATTGTTTTGGTTGACAATGCGATAATTTGACTATAGTTAATTAAAATTAATTGACTGAAACTAATTGTATAAAGAATTACAGACGCAGTTACATTGACTTTACTTTTAGCAACTTGGGTCAAACTTTTAAAGGATTTTTTTTCTCACATTTTAAAGCATTCATTGAAATGAAATTTTATATACCCAATTGTTTTGGATGACAACACGATACTTTAAGGATAATTAATGGAAATTAAATACCACATAACATGGGGATTCTGTTATATGAATATACCTATTTATATTAATTGTAATTATTGGATAAAAAGTAAATATAAAATAAAATTTTTCTTTGTTTCTTAATAGGAATTGACTTAATTTTTTTTTATGTTACTTGTTCTGTTAGCACCTTACTATAATGTCCCCATCAACAAGATAAACCTTCTAGGACTTATTTTTTTTAATAATACGAGCTTTAGATTATTAGTAAAATATTATATCTCTGATAAAAGAGTGGAGAACTCATTAAAATGACATGAATTTATAACGGATGTGAAGCAAAATCATACAGATGGAATGAAAAAATCCAAGATCATCTAAGTGTGACACATTGGACAAGCATTAACAAATTTAGTACATCTATAATCGTAAAAAATAATTTCAAATGAAGATACTTTTTAATGATCGTATATAATAGAAAAATATTATAGAAATCTTTAGACAGTAATTTTCAAAACTCATATAATTGCGTGGTAGCATAGTTGTAATGATCACGACCAGTGGCCGGCCTGCCATAAGTTGGATTATAGTGCCAATGAAGACCCGGCGTATAGAGTGCCTGAAGCACTGTAATATTGAGACTCAAAGTCTTCTCGTTGGTGTGGTATGGAAGTTTGGAGAGGGGTGCTGTTTCAGGTGTCCTCCTCGTCACTTGACTATTGATCAATATCACCAGATCTGACGTCAATGGCTGCTCTAGTTTTTATAGTGTTATATTAATAAATACTCGCTCAAATCTCATTTGAACAAATATAATTATTTATCATACTTGACTATATATATATAGCTTTGTGGTCCTTTGAAATAAAAAATATTCAATATACGTATGAATGCATATATATGTAACCAAAATATCTGAAAACGTACATTACATTACTAGCAATATATTTTTAAATACACAATAAACTTTTAAAATGAAAATAATCACTACACAGCAGATTTCTTAAGGGCAAACGTGTGCGGTTTAACTTAACAATTTTTTTCCAGTTTTTTCTCTAACTCTATTAGATACATTTTGCATGATTTCTTTAGGTGTCCAGTATATTTACAGTTAAAAAATCCAAGTAAAAATAATGCTTTGTAAATATTTATTTCAAAAGATAATGTAATGCATTAAAATATATGTAATCAAACAATAATAACCTACTTATTCTTTTTGAAATTAGAAAAAATTTCAATTCTCTTTTGATTTAGATTGTCTGTTTCTTTGCCTTTTAAACCTATATTTATTTAAAAACTATAATTCTATACAAGTTATTTGTACATTCTGTATATTTTTCCTTCAGATTTTCGTTGAATATATTATAAAAATAATTCGTCCATTTGTTTGAAAATGTTATCTTGATCTTAGTACAAAGCTTAATAGTTTATTTTATTCAGAAAAATCTTAAAAATTATGCATGCCGGCTGTAGACCATTACTAAAAAATGTAATTCACGATTGTATTATCGAACAGATGTGTATAGAGTACCTCGTGCTAAACAGTACTTGTACATCGCGAGTTCTCTGTCTGTAAATATTGGAAAATGCATCTATTCAAAATATTCCCCAGGATACATTTCATATTGAATTCAGCAAACGATATTCAATCACAACAAGCAGGAATGTCTCATGTTCGATTGTCGTCAACGCCACTTATGCGATATTCGAAGCATTATCATGGAGACTCAGAATTGAGAGCAATATAAACCCCTAACCATTAACCTTCCGCAACCCTGGGTATTTCATGAAGCTGTATGATTACGTATTGCTCAATTTCTACTATTAGTTCACAATCTCCCTATATAATATTTATTTATATAAATATTTAAAATGTTCAATCGTTAACAAAA